AAGCCGTGATTGCAGTCTCAGGTCGTTCCCATGAAATGAGAAGATTCGTATGTTTTCTATTTCTTAAACATGGAACTTAAACATTAAGTTAACCCTATTCCAAATACGTTTTTAAACTATTCAAATGATGAAAGTTATTGTTGTTTTTAAGCGTTTATTAGCTAGTGGGAAAGACCAACATGGCCGCCATCTATTCAAATGGGGTTAACCGCTGGAATATTCTTAGCTTCAATTTTACTAAAAGAGATTTGCTATCTAGTGTATGTAAGATATTTATGGGGGCAATAATCCTGGGACACCGGTTCTTTAAAGTTTTTTAACCGGGTATACAACGGACAGTCAACCCAATAAACAATATAGATTTTTACATCTTTTAACGCAGCTTACAAAAGCTTCAAGCAGAGAGTACGACATAATATTAGATATTTTCGACAAAATATGTGCAGTTGTAGAGAATGTTTTTTACACTTTCTTGTCATGTGTAGTTAGTAATTATTTTGACATTTCATTCGGAGCCAAAATAACACATGCCAACTCCGGCATCGGCTTAACGAAAAGTGCCATTGGCTCCAGCACCCTGTCCTTGTGGCTTGCTCTGAAAATATTTTTCAATTTTCTAGACTAGATTACAGTTTTATTGTCTTTTATGTATTGTTATAATCAACGAAGTTTCTTCCATTTTGTCATGCACAGGATTTGTTTCATATTAAAAAAAACCCAGTCATGTCAGTATATACAGTACTATTGCAAAGTTTTTAAATCCATTTCTTTAGGATCAAAAGTAATGCACCCGTCAGTTGTTGTTGCAAACAATGAACGTGCAAATTATGCATATGACCTTGTAAGTAACTAATTATGTGCTTAATATTCAGGGTATATAAAAAGGTAAAATGTAATCCAACTTAAGCGTGACACACCGCGATAATTACTCAGCGAGTCGGACGGATAATGTGTCATTCAATAGCTATATAACCCCGATCTTTATTCCCATGTAAAAATTTCGTTCATACTGTTGTGCGTATCTCGTAAAAATATCCACAACTACTCACAATTTAGTTTTAAATGCTTTATATTATACGAAAAAATAAAACAAATCTCGCCTCCCAGTTTATTGTAATGATTATTAGTAATGGTAATTGCACTGAGTTAAGAACAATTTGGACTGAAATCAAACACGTGATAATAAAGCTGCACAATTGTAGTCTTGTTATTCGAAGTTAATTGCAACGGCGTTATGGTCTCTGGGTACGAGATTGATAAGACAGCTGCAGAGGAATTAAAAGCGAGATTATCGATTCGAGCTTATTTGGGGTGCTTTAGTTTCGTTTCATTGTTTACATTTCAATATGACGAGATGCGCACCATCTCACGATTTTTACGACATCAGTCAACCGATTTGTTAATATAATGTTATCAATTTTCCCAAGCCTGATGGTCAACATGATCTTACGAAAACTGCGAGTATTCAACATTTTGCATTTGTAAGATAAATATTTTTAAAAATGGAAAAATAAATTGTTCAACAACAAAAAAAAAGTTTTCTAAATTTTTAATTCTGATTGCTTGTTTTTCTTGAATTCTTGTTTGTGTGACTGGTTGGTCGAGGGAGATCGAGTGAATAATTAAAGCTCTTAAGTTTGCTAATGTGAGCAAATCACTACTCGCACTATTTTTAGCCAATCAGATTGCAGAAAACACCAATGATTTCAAAATGAATATAATAAAATATTAAACATTGCCCGAAATCTTGGGTGTAGATGTAGTAAATAAATTCTATTTATAGGATAGCAACGAAGTGGAAGATGAAAATGAACAACCGCATAATCCGAGTAGTGAAAATCTGGGTAATTAATATGTGATACTGATACATAATCATTTTAAACATAATCACAACGACAGAACATGTGCGCTTTTATTTGACGTCATTTTCACTTTAGAAACCGATGCGGAGTCGAAAAATGAAAACAGTTGAATGGTTAGCTCCCTCCATAACGTCGTGTTCATACTGGTAAATTATCAATTAAACATTGCCCGAAATCTTGGGTGTAGATAACTAGATATGTAATAAATAAATTCTATTTACAGGATAGCAACGAAGTGGAAGATGAAAATGAACAACTGCATAATTCGAGTAGTGAAAACCTGGGTAATTAATATGTGATACTGATAAATAATCATTTTAAACATAATCACAACGACAGAACATGTGTGCTTTTATTTGACGTCATTTTCACTTTAGAAACAGATGCGGAGTCGAAAAATGAAAACAGTCGAATGGTTAGCTCCCTCCATAACGTCGTGTTCATACTGGTAAATTATCAATTAAACATTGCCTGAAATCTTGGGTGTAGATAACTAGATATGTAATAAATAGATTCTATATACAGGATATCAACGAAGTGGAAGATGAAAATGAACAACCGCATAATTCGAGTAGTGAAAACCTGGGTAATTAATATGTGATACTGATACATAATCATTTTAAACATAATAACAACGACAGAACACATGCGCTTTTATTTGACGTCATTTTCACTTTAGAAATCGATGCAGAGTCGAAAAATGAAAACAGTCGAATGGTTAGCTCCCTCCATAACATCGTGTTCATACTGAACAACCGCATAATTTGAGTAGTGAAAACCTGGGTAATTAATATGTGATACTGATACATAATCATTTTAAACATAACAACAACGACAGAACATGTGCGCTTTTATTTGACGTCATTTTCACTTTAGAAATCGATGCGGAGTCGAAAAATCCCAGCAGTCAAATGGTTAGCTCCCTCCATAACGTGTTCATACTAGTAAATTATCAATTAAACATTGCCCGAAATCTTGGGTGTAGATAACTAGATATGTAATAAATAAATTCTATTTACAGGATAGCAACGAAGTGGAAGATGAAAATGAACAACCGCATAATTCGAGTAGTGAAAACCTGGGTAATTAATATGTGATACTGATAAATAATCATTTTAAACATAATCACAATGACAGAACACGTGCGCTTTTATTTGACGTCATTTTCACTTTAGAAACCGTCATAGATTAACATGGCATTTACGTTTTGGAAGTGACGTCATATCGGGAATTGCAAGTTAGTTACATGTTGTTTGCCACAAATATTAACAATATGATGTTATGTCCAAAACTTTAATGGCAAATTAATCCATGAAGATGAGGTTTTTAACTGAAGGTGAGTTACGGTTTTGTCTTGTGTTGTTCAAATATTACGAAAATGTAAATCCCTTACAATGACATAGGCACCTTCAACTTAATTCGTCTTAATTCAGAGATTATCATCAAGTCGTTATGATTGCTATGCCAACCAAATAACAATTCAAATGTTATATTTTTATATTACTGTATACTGATATTCATATTAAAGTACTGTTATTGTACAACAGAAATATGGAACGAAAGAATGGATGAAGCGGATGTGCTCGTCAGTGGTGGGAGTGAAGTCTCTTCTGATTTGGTAAGTGAAGTTTTTTTACGTTCTGGTTAGTAACGAACGTGAGTGACAGGGTATTTTTTTCTATTGAAATATAGAATGAAAAAAAACGTCGTGAAAACAACAGGAAACACAATGCTGGAAATGACTCGTTAAGGTACTTAAGGTGTTTTACATGGGTACAAAAAATTATTCTTTTTGAACCATCCCAATGTTGAATTATTGAAAGTGAGAATTTTATTTATTATCTTGTAGCGGCAATTCAGTTGTTGAGACGTCTAAACGTTTTAAACCCTCTGGTGAACCATACAAGGACGATGCCATGACTCCAGTTTTCTCGTGGCAAAACAAAGCATACACAAGTGAACAACTTGTTCAGATTCTATTGGGAAACTACGATCTCTGCGCTGGATACGAAAAAAGATCTCTGCGCTGGATACGAAACAGCCTATAAATGAAGCTGATGTATAAGAGTTGAGACGAACCTACTATAAGAACTGTTCTGACGACTCTGTTCGCAAGATAGTATCAAAATTGTATGGTAAGTCGATGTTTATTGTTTGATCTGTGGGCAAAGAATGTGCAATTGCATGCTGTTTCATAATCGTCCGTTGTACGAGCAACGTCACATGATAACTTGTTTATTGAAGGCAGGCAACAATTCTTATTTGCAGTGGCGTAGCAAACTCGATAATTGGGGGGGGGGGGGGTATTCATATATTCGTGTTCACAGACCTTAAAAACAATTGATTTCAAAAGAAATTAATGATGCAGATTTGCATTTTGATTCTGCACCTCAGGTACATTAATGCCTGACTCCAATTTTGTAAGGAGTGGGAAAATAGGAAAAATCTTTAGAAAGTAATTAAAGATTAACAAAGTACACTATGACTCTCATCTTTGGGTGAAGATGTTGGAAATTAACTGCCGATATTTTTCAACTATTTGGTTTCTATGGAAACTGTCATGGATATACAAAAATATTATCACGGAACCTTTTACTCATACACTGCAATGTAAATGTTGCTGTGAACACAACAATGTCTCGCACAATGTCAATATAATTTGCACTAAAACGATCATTCGAAATTACAATGCTTACAAGTCTAATTGTAAGGACAAAGTTATATGTGCTCTGGACAAAATATACTTATTAACGACCCATATTAACATTGCCCTATGTGCCAACGCGTTTTTTGCGTGATGAATTCGCACATGCCATTATTATAATATAGGCTCCTGTCGTGAAACAAAATATTATAAAATACAAATATAGAAATACTATACAATAAATAACAAACCATTTGCAACTAGTAAGTAGTGCTGCATTCAAATAATATGCGAGGAACAAATATAATAATATATACATTCAGAAGTACAATATGATAAGTACATATGTTCGTTTATATTGGTAAGGACGCATGCCAGGGAGACAAACTGCGACATGCAAGGAAATTTAATTCTAAAAATCACAAATTTACAAAGATATAACATGCACATCCCGATCATATTTTTAAAATAACAAAGATAATATAATAGTAAAATGCTCACTAAAATCGACTATAAAGTTTACTAATAAAACAAATAACACTGAAGACTGTTCACGGAACTATGAAACTATAAAATAGTACATGAAGGGTGGATCTCCTCACGCTCGAACTCTATATACAATCGTTTTACTTGCTCTGTTAAAAGCGTGACTCATTTAGCTTTTCTATATCTCGACTTAAAAATGTCTCGTCTTAAATTACATATCGTGCGTCGATGACATAATATAGAGGTTGCTAATAATTAACTTAACGGAACTTTAATTAAACATATAATGAAATAAAAATGTCAACTGTTCAAAACATATATATTAAATTATTTAGCAGAATATTCGACACTTGCCTGACTTAGACAAGTGTGTCTGAGTCTTTATATGAAAGGATATTATATTTCAACAACAACATCTATTGTGCCCTTTAGGGGCCAATTACATGGAGCATTTTCAACCCCCGGGGTTGAACTCAGCCCTGTTTACAGGGTTGAAATTTCAGCCCTGTCTGTAATACAAAACTCTATCAAAATCAAACGCGCGATTACATGACAAAATTTTCAACCCAGGGCTGAGTTCAACCCTGGGGTTGAAATTTCAACCCTGGGTTGAAAATTTTGTCATGTAATCGTTTCAACCCAGGACTGAAATTATCATGAGTTATTCGAGCATACGTGGTAGTGATTATTTATTACAAGAAAACAAAATAAAGACTTTTTTATTTCCGGGAATCGATGCCGAGAACGTATAGTATAGCGTTTCAACCCCGGGGTTGAAATTGTCCATGTAATCGCAAAAGATTTCAACCTGGTTAACAGGGCTGAATTCAACCCCGGGGTTGAAAGTTCTCCATGTAATCGGCCCCTAAATTAAGTCACCACCCCCAAAAAAGTTTGAACCATCCATATGCTGATCATATGCTGGGTACCTATTTGTATTCAAATATTTATCTGTGCGTTGGAAACTAAAAAGGATACACAAATGTTGAATAATTCAGACATAAAAACCCGCAATAGCGAGGTTTATATTACACTAGGCTACCCATAGGGCAGTAATGCTGCCTTTGACAGCAAAAGACAAACTACAGGGTGTTGAACGAGTCCTTCGAAACATCCTATTATTGATATCCTTGTTTAATAACCCATTTTTACAGTACCCTACCACTGACTGAGTATTAAAAATCGTCTGGCGTTGGACAGGGTAAATACTAAAGTAGGGTCCATTACTATGCTGATGTATTAACAAGAGACACTGGCAGATAGGTTTGTTGCCAGCTAATGGGTTAAACCACTGTGGTTTAAACATAAGATTTGATGCGCCAGGAAATGTAAGCAAGCTATCAGTGTGACACCCAGTTTATATATTTATATACTCGGAATATTGATTTCTCGGTATATACAAAATTATTGCTGCTGCAGCGAGCGAGCCTGAAGCGACCGAGCAAGACAGCAGTTTGGAGCTTTTTTACGACCCGTGACATTTTACCCGTGATACGCGACTTTTTACCTGTGACATGCGACCATTAGTCAAACTCGCTGTGACTGGGTTTCAAAGGCAAGCCTTTATTATAAAGGTTCTTGCTCTACTTTCAACATTTAATGTTAATATTATAACATCACTGTTGCTCTTTATTGTGTCTATATATTATTGAGTGAAATATTCGACATGAGCGCAAACTTCATATCGGATCGTATTACATTTCGGAATTTTAACAATAACATATTGCACAGTTACGTCCTAAACAATAAACATCGGCACTCAACGAAAGTTTGTGGTGAGCCGAACCATATTAATATAGCTACGCTGTGTATGTTAAGCAGGAATGAGAAATCGACGCTGTATGATACAGAACGCGCAATAATCAGCTTTATTTATCAAAGTTCAGAGGTCGGCGGTCGCAAAACGTTTGTGTGTACATTTAAAACATACTAGAAACGTTAGTGCATGGCTAGCCTGTGCGCAGACTATATACTACATATATATGAATGATATAGTCTGCGCGCAGGGTAGTTAGTGGCTTCGCTGGTTGTTATACTTTAAAATAATTTTGTATATGCAGAGAAATCAATATTCCGAGTATATAAATATATAAACTGGGATGTCACACACTCACACTGATAGCTTGTTTACATTTCCTGGAGCATCAAACTTATGTTTAACCACGGTAGTTTAACCCATTAGCCGGCAATGCGCCCTTCCCTTGTCCAGCGCCAGAATATTTTACTAGTCAGTGGTATAGGGTACTGCCAGTAAATGGGTTAACAAACCTATCTGCCAATGTCCCTTGTTAATCCATCAGCACAGTAATGACCCCTACGTTAGTATTTACGCTGTCCAACGCCAGACGATTTTTAATACTCAGTCAGTTCTTAATTAACTGTGGTCAATTGTAGGGTACTGTCAATAAATGGGTTAACAAGGATAACAATAATAGGATGTTTCTGAAGGGACTCGTGCAACACCGTGTAGTTTGTCTTTTGCTGTCAAAGGCAGCATTACTGCCCTGTGAGTAACCTAGTGTTAAGTAATACACAGCGTAGCTAAAAAGCCAGTCGGGCAACATTCGGTCCACAGTCAGGCAATATTGGCTTATTAAAAATAAATGGGACAAATTCTGTCAATTTTGCCGGAAATTCTGTCAATTTTGTGGGAAATATGCTACCTAATAGGAATTGTTCGTAATCAATCCTCCCCCCCCCTGTTGACAACAATTTTGGAAAGTTTCTCCCGAAAATTTTTTTAACAACTCGTGCACAATCCGAAAAAGTCGGGCAAATTTCCCCCCCCCCGCACCCCCCTAATTTTCTCCTTTGCGTACGCCCATGTCGAATATTTCACTCAATATATAGACACAATAAAGAGCAACAGTTATGTTATAATATTAACATGAAACGTTGAAAGTAGAGCAAAAACCTTTATACTAAAGGCTCGCCTTTGAAACCCAGTCACAGCGCTTCGAATTTACAACTTGTCTCAGCAAACACTTGTTCATCACCGAACATCACACGCACGTGAAGGATTAAAGAAGCCGGCCGAAGTGCATTATTGTAAAAAATACCAGCGACCATAATGCATCGCACTTGGTTAAACTTGGGATTTCAACCCCCATTTCAAAGTTTAGGCCGACCTCGCTGCGGCAGCAATTATATATCAAAGTTCAAGGTCGCCGCAAATCACATATGATATATTACACTATACAACGGCTAATTGCAGAAGAAAAACTAATAGTTTACTCATCCCTGCTGGTTGCTATAATCTAGCATAATCCTACAGCTCATACTTATTGAATTTTAGTTTCTTTCGAACGCCAAAATGCACTCAATGGCAACACGCTAGATATGTTTAATTGCACGCAACATGCACGGACATATCAAGTCGAGCGTGGGCAGAGCAAAACAAGAGGCAAGCATTAATCAGCCTGAGACTGGTTATTTGGGGGGTTCAGGTTGGAAGTTGAGTAGCAATAGCATACTTGTTATTCTAACTGAGTGTTTGTATAAAATGAGGTCTCTTATTTTTGCTATAGACAGCTGTGGTAATTCGCTCCAGTACGTCTTTGTACAGTACCTGTTCAGTGGCACGGAACATGAAGTCAAGCGAGTTTTGCCTCATGGTAACGCCAAGTCTAAATCGTCCTACAGACGTGTCCTGCCAAGTACAATTGAAAAATTAAAAAAGACCGTATACGAAAAAGGAAAGACGGCGAAAGAATCCCTTGATGAGGTTTACTGTATGTCAGGCGATGTTACGATGGCGAGATCTTTGAGTGAATTGCCGAGGGGACCAGGTGATATGTACAACGCGAGGCACTCTGCTAAGCAATCTCGAGGCAATTCTTCTCCAAATGAGAAAAGTGAAGGGGGAGAAAGTAGTCAGGTGAGCTTAGATAACATCTGGACACTCCTTGAAAGAGCGAAAAGAGAGGAAGAACAATCAAAGGACTCCATATTCATCCATGAATGTTCCATACATCCGGATCTCTTTGTTGTTTTAGCCACCGACCAACAGCTGCAAGAACTTCAATTGTTCTGTACGAGCCCAATAGAGTTCAGTGTCCTTGGCATTGATCCTACCTTCAATATTTTCGATCGAAATATCAGTCTTACAGTATCGACTTACAGAAATTTAAAGTTGGTAAATCCAAAAACCGGAAAGCCACCCGTATTTGTGGGACCGCTGCTGATGCATCAAAGAAAAGATTGGAAAACATTTTCTAAATTTGCGCATTCACTCACGATGGCCAAGCCCAAGCTTGAGGGAGTTTTGGCATGTGGTACGGACGGGGGAAAAGCCCTTATTGATGGCTTTAAAAGGCATATGCGTTTTGCAATATTTTTGCGATTCTTTTTGCACTTCAAAGACAACATTAAAAGGGAACTAACCGATAGAGGCATATTACTGGTGATGCAAAAAAAACAATTTATTTCCGAAATATTTGGAACGCAAGAAGGATCCGTCAAGTACTACGATCTTGTGGATTGCAACTCTGAGAACGAATTTGATTCAAAACTTGATATGCTTAAACAAGAGTGGGAGGAAAGAGAGGCCACACATGGTAGCAAACTTAAAAAACAGACGTTTTTTGAGTGGTTTCAATGTGAAAAGGTAAGAAATGTTTCCTAAATTAAGGAAGGAATTAATTTACCATTGGATTGCATGAATTTCCACGTTTCTAACACACTTTTGTGAATATTTCTCCTGAAACAGTGATAATTCTTCATACCACGCGAAAAGCGAATTCAATAATTGTTTTATTATTCATTTAAAAAAATAAGATGTTGGTTAAGGGATGGACCATTTGATTTTTGATGGGGGGGGGGGTAGAATCCCCAAAAAATATCGAGCAAGCAATTCGAGCTTAAAAAATATCATGCAAGAATAAACGGACGAAAAAAAATATCGAGCAAGACTTTCGAGTGGTAATCCTTATTTGCCATTCGGTGCATTTCCGCGTGTAGCCCAGGACTGTATGTAGCAA